AGGAAAGGCTACGGTTTATCTGAGATCTGTTCTGCCGTCTCCACAGTGTACGTTCCTGATCTGGTGTATGTCTCCGGTGAAGTGGAATGGCTCCGACATGTTGTACACGCGGGTGATCCGGCCTTACTTCCTGAAACACCAGAACGTCATGGACAACATCGTCAGTGATCTAAGTTCCAAGGCCAAGGACCTCAAGGACACCGTGACAAAGGAGGGTGAGTTACTAATCACTCTCACACACGCTGCTACCACGTCTCGACAAATTATAATGCCATCAAAGGTGATTTATTTTAATAGTTGTTATATAGAGCTTTACACAATGGGTTTGTCTGTTAAGATTGTTATAAACAGATTCCATATTTCAGTTTCTCAGAAAATTATATTAAGACCAATAAAAAGACATTTGACCCCTTTCCAGCGAACATTCATTGATGGCAGAGTAAACCACAGGAAGAAGCTTCCTGTTCAGAGTACTCTATCCAAGCACATTAATAGAAACCTGAGTGGAAGGAAAACGGTTTAAAGCAGAAATGATAACCACAGTTTAAGACGGAAGAAAAGCCTGTTTGAGAGTTTTTGGGAGATTGACGAAGTCCGAAGGAGGAAAAAGGGACAGGACCATTTCTCAGTGGTCCAACGTCCTCTTTTCCAGTTAAAGAAAATTTTACATTTCATTTGGAAACCAAACTACCAGTTTCTGGAGGAACAGTGGAGAAGCTCAAAATCCAAGTTGCTCGAGGTCCATTGTGAAGTTTCCACAGTCTGACGATTCGAGGAGCCGTGGTGGTCTGCTGTGTCTTTATCAAGTCCAACAGCAACGCAACCTTCTTATGGGAACTTTTTAGAGCTTCATGCCTCGCCCTGCTGACCACTTTTATGATCCGGATTTCATTTTTCTGCAGAACTTGGCACCTGGTCCATCAGCCATAAAGACCCATACCTGGTTTAATGACCATGGTGTCACTGCTTGATTGGCCAGCAAACTTGCCTTGCCTGACCCGAACCCCAAAGAGAATCTATGGCGTATCGAGAGGAAAATGGAGAGACCAGAAGCAGAAATATGGACGACCTGAAAGTTGCTGTTACACCGAGTTGGGCTTCCTTGACATCACAGAGGCAGATGACCTCCATGCCGCGCTCCATTAATGCAGTAGATCATCCTCCCCCCCCGCACACAAAATACTTTTATTTCTGTATAAAAATAGGAAGAAATGGGTTTTCTGTCAGTAACAAATTAATCCTATTGTACTTTTTTTTATTGTTTTTAGTTGTAAACATTAAATGTTACCCCTCCCAGACCAAAAAACACACATCCATCCATGTTTGCACTGAACTCCACCCTGGATCTGCATGACATGGCTCGATCCTGCTTAGCACGCTTGACGGTGTTCAGCAGCAGTTAGTAGAAGATGAGAAGGATTGTGGTAGTTAATATGCTGCCTAGAAAAATAATAGTCAGGTTTTCAAAAAAGAGAGAGATGGGGAAAAAATATGTCAATTTGTAACCCAGTTTTACTTTGAGAGGTGGGTAGACTGTGAGATTATCAGTCATGTAGCATAGTTAGAATTTGAACAACACTGTGTTCAGTGACAAGCTAGTTAGCATCACTCCAGGGAATCTGTAGGGATTTCTCTGTCTCTTTGCTCTATTTACAATTCCACAACAAAAACAATATATTTATTACTGACAGAAATTCAAACAATATTTATAAAATGATGATAAACAGCCTCCTGTCCAAACTGGAGCCAGTCCGGACAGTCCTACCTTAGCTTGCGCTTAAATTACAGATATTGGCTGCCACAGTTAAGTGAAATTAAAGCTGCAGTATGTAACTTTAATATTTTTATTTTTATTTTTTACACATTTGTTAAAACTGTTAAAACTCTCAATATGTTGTGAACATATTGTACTAGACTTAATCTGCGAGAAATTTTATTTCCTCTGCCTTTTCCCAGTGCTATCTAGAAACAACCAATCAGAGGCAGGAGGTGGGTTTTAGCGCTGTCAATCACAATCTCAAGTGGCTGCTCACCCCTTGCTCTGCTATGCTGCAGCTAGCATATCCTGTTTTGAATGCTCAGTTTAGTTAGCATAGCTACCATTGACGGCAGGTAAACGGTTTTCCTGCTAAATGTGCTAATCTGCCATGAGCACATTTAGCAGTGAGTGAATGAAGTTGATTGACAGCGCTAAGACCCTCCTCCTGGTTCTGATTGGTTGCTTTTGGGACGAATGGTGCATTTCTGCAGATGACAACAGTAGCCCTGGACGGAGGTGGAGGAAATCAATCTTTTAACAGATTATCTTTTTCATAGCAAACGGTCATGAAATGGTGACAGCTTTAACACGCATGGGGGAAAAAAAACATATTTTTATTAAAGTTTTATGAACAAAATACAACTACATAGCATTTTTTTTAAAAGTCTCGATTGCTTTATGTATATTTTGCACATTGCCTATGAGTGTTGCTGTTGGGGAGAGACCTTTCAGTAAGCCAAACCTAATTAAAATAAAAAATAAAAATAAGCAATCTATTTGCACACAGTATGCAGACTGCATGTAAAATTCACTAGCAGTAATTATTGTTCTAGCATCACTATTGGACCAAGGAGGTTTTAGAATTGTGACACTTTTGATGGGTCAGGGACTCAAATTGTACCAGCGGCTGCACGGGAGGGGGGACCAATTTAACTTTTTTTTTTTTTTTTTTTTATGGGGCCCAAAAAGTCTGGCAGCGCCCCTGTAGCACAGTACCTTGACCTACTTTCCAGTAGGCTGACATTTTATATTTTATATATATATATATATATTTATATATTTCTTTTATATTGGTCTTGTGTAAAGTTCTGATTCTCTGAAACTGAATTTCTTTGTTTTTTTACTTATAAGATGTAATCCATAATAATGAAAATGAAGAAAAATAAACTCTTGGAGGAAAAGGAAAAGGAATCAGTGACTCTTTTTTTATTATTGAATAAGGAAATGTTAATGAAATGTTGCCTTATTTACATGTATGTTTTTATGTGTATACAGTACACTAACATGTTACACAGTGGACTGTAAACTCTTGCAATTTTTCTTTCTTTTTGTTCTAGCTGTCCACCAAGCTTTCAGCCATGACAAGGATAAGTGAGAAGCACAGAGGAAAACCTAGTGTGTGTGTGTGTGTGTGAACGTCACCTTTTTCCGTGGTCCTCTTGTGAAGATGGATGACTAACCTCCCTGCTCTCTGTGGAGTCCGTGCCTTTCCTCCTGTGAAAACAAATAAAATATTGCGCATCGACGTCAGTTTACTGCTATCGGTACGTTGAAGACGGTCAATGAAGCTGTGACCTTTTTTTTTTTGTGATCTGTTATGAAGACGTTTATTGAAGAATCATCTGATTTACTTGTGGGTAGCTGTGATTATAATTATTTTTTTGGGCAGAAGACTAATAAATTACAAGCTTGGAATTAAAGTAGATCTACATTCGTATTGAGGTTTGATTAGGAAATAAACCCAGAGGTAAATCAACACCGTCTCAGGAACTTTTGAAGATCTTCTCTGCTTGTTGGTGTAAAGGCTCGTTGCCCTAAAATATATTTATAGACCGCCTTCTGTTGATAATCATGTCATCTGTCTCCTTTCTCTCCTTCATGTGCCAGACTGATCTCGGTCTGAGATATTGGGAACATTCCCAAGCTCTGACATTAACTGGAAACCTTCTGTCTTTTAAAATGTCTTAATTTATTCTCTCTCGATGATTTAAAGAAATAAAACTGGAACACCGATGAGCTGAAACTCTGCGTGTGGTTTTACTTTCGCACTCGGTCTGCCTCATTCTATGTCTGTACCACACTGTGTGTAATTTGGACCTAGTAAAATCCCATTTCACAAAGTTCATGCTCCGCTGCTTTCCTGTAATCGTCTTTCTTTTTTTTTTTAAAGCAGCGCTGGGTGTTGGGTATTCCACTCTTCCTCCCCTGTCAGTATTTTTTCCTCATGTTGTTGTGGGAAATCTAGTATCCTATCATGCATTCATTTATTTCTGCTTTGCCCTGCGTTCATGGTTGAGGGGCCTCAAAAGAAAGACGGTTTGTGTTTGTGCGCTGGGTGTAACATGTTGAGAAACGGTGGACGGTCGGTCGGCACCAGAGGGAATGCAGGGCACCCATCTGGAAGTTGTTTCTGTGAGGATGTCTTTGTGTTTGGTGTGTTTGCTTTCAGTCTCGTAATTGATTTAGTGGAGGGAAAAAATACCCAGAAACGAATAACTACTTGGTAATCTGTATGACGCTGTCTGGAAAACAATGAATTTGAAATATTTCCCAGTTTTTACAGAAACGTTGAGACTGAATAACGTTTTGTACTTCCAGAAATCAAGCACCTCAGTCCGTTTATGGACTCATCCATCCATTTCTATGTCCAGCTGTCAGTCTGGCCATCCATTTGTCTATCCATCGATGCATCGGGTTGTCGGTCATCTGTCAGTCCAGCCTTCTATTTGCTTATTTTTGCAGGTTCCACATTTATAGGCAGACTACTCTAGGAATAGCTGCAGTGATATTAAACTTTTTTATTTATACTAAAATATGACTAAACACGACTGAGAATCATGAACATTTCCTACAAAATGCAGTAGGAGTCTGCCTAAAGATTGAAGTGTTTAACTTAAAATGTTTTTTTTCCCCCACTTGTCAACCTTCTCCATAAATTTCCAACTGATAAATCCTAATGCACTTATCGATCCTCTAAAAGTACACAGAAGTTGATAGCTGTTAGAAAATGACCAAAAAAGAAACAACTTTATGAGATTTCTTCTCCGTATCGACTTTATGGTGTCTGAAAAGCTGTGAAGCAAAAACTCCTAAAAGTCATCCAGCTTCACTGAAGACCTAAAATCATCAAATTACGTGTGGCAAATGGAAGAAAAAGTTTACATCTCGGATAGTTCCCCTTTTCGCCGACAGAGGGAGACAAACTCAATGCGGAGCAGGTACAGAGCTGGTGAGTCATACAGGGAGGCTGTTCCGTCCACCCGGCAGACCAGAGAACCGGGTCTGGGAGGAAAGGTCCGTGGCCTTGTTTCAGCACCAGAGAGACGATAGGAAACATTTAAATCTGTCTGATGGCAGGAGGGAGATTCAGGACACGCCAGGGTAAATAATTTGTATTCCGGTTGCGTTTGAGTGTCGTCACTCAGCCGACAGCTCACTTCCTGGTACATCGTGTTTGGATCTGTCATCACATCATTAATTCTTTCCACTGCGTGTTTTCTCACCTTATTAATATGTATAATGTGCTGCATTTATGAAGTCCTTGAGCCTTAGGAGATGAATAGATGTCGCTATCCATGGTGCTGATCTGCTTTCACGGCAGTTTTGTGGATATATTTAATAAAATCTATAGCTATATATATTTTTTTCTTTTCATTCAGTTCTAATCACATTTTCATACAAAAAACACTTCCTTTCACCATTTGATCTAAAAGGTTTCTAGAATTTCTTACACCAGAGCAACTTTCTTGAATGCTAGTGGTCCTTTTTCAAGACACAACATTGAATTTGAATAAGATGGATTTAATTAAAATGCACACCAGTGGTCCAATAGAACTTCCTAAGTTATACAGTATTTGCAGCGTTGTTCAGAAACAACTGGACCAGCATCCCCAACCAGATCAGTCACTGTTTTAGAAAGAAATTACATTTCCACAGGGTGAACAACAGAATGATATAGAACGATGCTGTAGTGTAATATTGCACTTTGAATAGATCATATATAAATCTAATCCATTTCCAATTGATTGAAGAAAATGGGGTGTTTCTACAGCGTCAGACTTACTTGTATCATATCAGTAGTTATGAATAAATTTGAAATACACCAAAGTACTTTATGCAGCCTACAAGAAATACTAATGACTCATGTGAACATAATTGTTATGTTGTGGTCACAGATGGTTGTGTTTTGGCTTCATGTAGTCCGGTCAGGACCAGAACATGTCGACATCATAACTTAAAGACGTGAAGCAGTTCTCAGGAACATTTATACAACTGAACAGTATTTAAATGACTTGCAGGAAAGATCAGTGTTTAAATTTACACGGTGCATATTTGAGTTTTTAAAGAAAAATACAGATGTAAGTCAAACAACATAATATACTTTTCAACTGAAAGATAACAATTATGATTAAATTTCCTTTTATTTTTGAAAAATGTACTTGGCCTTTTTTTTTTTTTTAACTTCCCCCCAATAAATTTTTGGTGATGATCTCCAAGCTTTGGACATTTTCCTTGATCTTTAACTCTCTCTACAGATTCTCAAAGTCGAACCTCTCCAACATCTTCATATTACATCCAGTCAGGTGAAATATGTTAGTAGAAAATATCTTAATAACACTTTAAATAAAAAAAATCTGCAACGAATATGAATGAATCCTCTGCTTGACTGCCTTTTTTTTTTTTTTTTTTTCGCCTACAGACTAGGGAGCGGGGATAGCACCTCCCTCGTCCTATCTGCTGGAGAAAGAGAGAGGGGGGCAGAGAGACTGAGATTGCGTGTGCGTGCTCCTCCGTGTGTGCGTGAGTGTGTGTGAGAGAAGAGAGTGTGAGTGTGTCGGCGGTGCTGGGAATCGGACGACATGAGCTCTACATGAGTCGTGTAAAAAAAATATGCTTTAAGACGCTCTCGGCGTTTGCGTTTGACCCCTCCGAACCGAGGACGAGCCTGAAGCGGAGCCGTGCGCATTAAAGATCCATCACGACCAGGTATGGGAGCCGCTCGCTCTTCGCCGCCTCTTTTTTTTTCTTTTTTTTTTTTTTTTACGCGCAGATATTAGATGTTGGTATTTGGTGGCTGTTGTAGCCGCGGTGCTTTTCTGCTCGCCGTTTGTGCGCACCAGGACTCCCGCGGCTCTCATCCGATGTATTCACGCCGTCGCCATCGTTTTTTTTTTTTTTTTTTTTTCTCCTCCACATCGACGTCCTACCACGAGTCTGAAATCTCGATCGTGTTCATTCTATAGCCGCCGCTGCCCATATGCCCGCACAGCCATATTGGAGGGGAGAGGAGTGTGAGGGATGGTGGGGGGTCGACACACTGGTCAGGTTTATTTCATGGCTTTGAGAAGTAAAGTGAGGCAGAGGAGGGTGGGATGGGGGGAGGTGTAGGGGAGGGGGGGGGCTTCTGCGACTTCCAAATGATGCACCGCTGCGAGATGGCGATCCTCTGGTATTTATGAATGAACCGAGCAGAGTAGGGTGGTCTGTAATGGCGTTGCGCACCAATCTGCGGACTGACGGCAAGCCCTCTTCTGCCACCCTTTCCTGTCTACAGCCCCGGCGAAAGATGCACGACGACTATACACTAAATATGACGCTGACGTGACGCATAAAGTCGTCCTTTTTTGTGCCTGTGCGTGTGTGTGTGTGTGAGTGTTTGTGGCAAATGTCACGGTTAATCCTCCATCTGGATCTGGGCTTTTTAAAGTGTCTCCTCCTCCTCCTCCGACAGTCGATGCGCTGTTTGTTTTCGGTGCCGTGACTGAAGAGGAGAGCCGTCGGGACATGTAGAATGAAATTATGAATCATTTAGCTCTCTCTCTCTCTCTCTCTCTCTCTCTCTCTCTCTCTCTCTCTTTGTGTGTGTGTGTGCGCATATATGTGACTCAACTTCCTGTAAGCGACGCCAGTCGTGTGAATCCATACATGAAGAGGAGACTTATGGCAGTAAATCCCTGGAGTGAAGCTTTGCAGAGAGTGGTGGAGATGCAGACTCTATTTAACGTGTCGGAGGATAAGTGATGGGACAGTGTTTTAGGTCTGCGTGTGTGTGTGTGTGTGTGTGTGTGTGTGGAATAGTCACGGCACCGTTGCATAACAACATACACCTCTACTGCTAAGGCTGGATGAAGAAATGACTCAATACATGGTAACAGGCAAGACGATGCTGCTGAAGATGGGATTGGTTGTGGGCTGATTTTAGATGATGTTATTTGGATCTTTTCTACAGTTATATGACGCTGATATAAGGTGGTACATACTGTCACATCAGTGCTTTATCCTTTGAACATTTTTTTTTTTTGCTAGGATAGGTCATAATCAAGAACTTGTTTTTTTATACATTTTACTTCAGGGACGTCCAAAGTGTGGCCCGTTAAACAATGTTGTGTGGCCTCCGACTGGGAGTTGGTGCAAATTTGGCCCTCCAGTGGACAGGCTTGTAATTTTTTAACATGAGAATTACAATGAGAAATGTAATCCTATATATATACTATAGATCGTGCTTCCCAGAGAAGCACAATATATTTTTATTTTTACTGTAATTTCATCGTAAGTAGGGCAATAAACATCCAGCGATGTCTTACTAAAAAATAAAAAATAGAGTACATTAATTCTTCTATTAAAGTTTTTCTCCTTTTTTTGCTGGGAATAGATTCAAAATTTTCTAGACCAAATAAGCCGAAACAAATTACATCCAAATTAGGAAAATGACCACCTTTTGTTGAGAAATGCCTCTTTGTTTCATTAAAAAAATATTGTACCGTAGTTTAATTTATTGCTGCGCAGAGAAGAAGAAAATTAACAATACTATTTAGTTTTTGAAGTTGTAAAAACAATGTAACTCTTTCAGTACTTTCAACTTCAGGATTCTGGGCCAGGATGCAAAAACATTTGGACATGACGGTTTTATTTGGATTCAATGTGACAAACCAGCTCAAAGCAGTGCAAAATTATAAAACGGTAGGAAAATGATGCACGTCTTTTAAAACGACTGTACAAATGAAAATCTGCATCCGCACCCCTTGAATCTGATACCCAAAATTAAATCTAACAGAAGTCACCCAGTGTGTTCAATGTGACATCAGCTGTTTTGTAACGTACTCTCTGGTCTGCTGAGAGATTATTTGAGAACGAACTGCTTCAAAGAATGCAGCAGACAGGACAGGGATGAGATGGTGGAACGTCATCGAGTCGACCATTAGTTGAGGACCCTCCAAATCTGCAAATAAGAAATCTGTGTGTAGGAGGAGAAGGAGCTCTGGTAATGGGACCAAAGGTTATAGTTTTTAGCCTAGTTGCTATGTGGAGGCGGTGGTGGCAGCATCATGCTGTGGGGATGCATCTTTTTGGTCAGAGTCGATGTGAAGTGGGATGGAGGTGAACACAGGACAATCCTGGAAGAAAACCTGTTAGAAGGTGAAAATAACCTGAAAATATTTGAGGGTTTAGATGCACAAATCTGGTGGATGCGAAAGATATATAACAAAATAATAAAATGTAGTACAAGACGGCACTACAAAGGCACTTACTAAGGGGAGCGTTAAACTTTTTGTGAAGTGCAAAAAATTTAAAAACTACGCATCATTTCCCTTCATTTGACAGCTAGAATGAACTGTTTGTGTTTACTTGTCTCCTGCGAGCTAAATTAAATATATTAAAGTTTGTGTACTGTGATTCTGCCAGATAAAAGCTGAAACATGACACATGAGAGTCCAGTTCCTGGGTTTCTGATGCAAAAAAATCCTTTCCTTTCTAAGGTAAAAGGAAAATATCCACAACTTGCCTTAGAAGTACGTTTATGTTCATCCAAAATCCAGGAACTGGTCTCTCGCATGTCGTGTTTTATCAGCGGACTGACACGAACCGCTGTTCAAACTGTCTCAAACTGTAAATCTGACTATTTAAAATGCTACGGCCATCGTTGCTTTATACTTTAAACTTCAAATTGTTTATGATAATACTATGAATAATAATAATTTAAAACATATGTCCATGTTTTTAGTGGTCCAGAGGGACCAGATGAAGTGAAGTTCGATCATGACCATCCATGTATCCTGCAAAAAAATACTGTAGGAAATATCAATAGGTTTTCCTTCCACATGATTTTGTGGGGGATTTTCTTGCATGAAAAATTACAAACCCTCAAGTTTGTAATTTGACTCCCATCCACACCATTGTCTAATTGTCTGATCCAGCACTTTCCACTTGTGAAATATAAGTATTTTAAACATCTTAATAAAAAAAAAATAGCTGTAGCAGGTAGTTTGTATTTGGACTGGGAGCTGTGGGATTACCTTTTCCTGACCTTATTCAACCTTACAGAGATCAACTGGCTTTCTGTTATCCACTGATCTTTGTTTAGCAGGTCAATAAGATCAATCCAGACCTTCAAACCTGCTCTTCATCCGGCACTCCAGGGGTGTTTCCCAAGCACCCACCAGCAGCATTGCTTGTGCCAGAGCCTCAAGAGTACGCAGTCTTGGACTTGCATAGGAAAATGATGCAAAACAACTAGTTTTAAAAAGCCCAAGTGAATAAATCAAGCACATTTTGCCCTTGCTATTAGCCAGACCTCTGTCTGTGTGCGTCCCAGACAACGGGCTGAGGGATTAGCAGGATCATATGGAGAGAGCAGAAGGAGCAGCCTGGGGATCCTGAGGTACCACTAATACTCCAAACTAATACACACTCTGACACCAACTACTGCCGCACAGAACCAGCATGACTGAGGTTACAGCATTCCAGGTATCAATCCGTCAAACGTTTCCTAGTAAAGTTTAATACAGAAGGCCCACAGGAGCCGTATGCCTCCAGTTTTATTTAGAGCAAAGCAAGTCAGAGCGGAAATCTGACAGATAAGGTGAAAATTGCAGTTTTCAGCTAAAAGTTGACATAAACAGCCATCCAGCACACATTTAAGAAAGGGAAACCTGACATCTTATGTGATGCTGTAGCAAATTACCGGTCAGATCTTTGGTAATCAGTCACTTAAAACTGATTTTGTCAGTAATAATGTGACTTTTACTGACTGTTTCCGTGTCAGAAAGTTTTGGATCCAGACGGCCCATAACCCAAAGACTGTTGGTAACTTAATTCCTGGGAATTGGGTCAACTCCAAGCAGTGCAGCGTAGGTTAAGCTCAGTAATTAGCTCCTAAGCCAACAGCGCCTCAGTGTCTTATATCGTGAGGTGGATATGTCAGACTTTACAGTGGATTGACGCAGACCAAAGCCAGGGTCTTGCTCATAATTTTCATCTGGCTTCACATCAGTTGAGTCATTTCGGTAATGCAATGCGGTGCTTGTTATGTAATGCGGTGAGTAACTCTGTGTTTAGTGTAGAACGGAACAGAAATATCGTTTCACTGTCCCACATTCGGAAACTTTCTCTGCAACGGCAGCGAAGAAAGTAGGCTCACACGAGAGTACACAGGAACGTATTGCATGCTTTTCAACGCATGTCAACGTAAGTACTGTTGTGGAAAAAATAATGCACTCCAGTGAAAAGGAAGGTGCATTTGAGTTTATTTAAAAACGTACAAAGACAGACTATTTTCAATAAACAGCAGAACAGCAGAGATGTGCAGATGCCAGCAGAAATCAGCGTTCCTGTAAACACTTATTACGTTTTTTGGGAGCAGTGATGATTATAGAGTGTTGTGGAAAGGGCCGTTCAACGCATGCAGCGGTTTAAAAGCTAGCTGGCATTTAACACAAGTGTATTTATAACCGTGCTGAATGCGCTTTGACAAGGTTTATATGCGGAAGAACTTGTTTTCTGTGCTTTGCTCGTCTCGACGGCGTGTTGGTGGCTGAAAACGGTAAGACTGGTGCGGAAGCCAGATGGCACAGGTGCCATTTTAACGGGGGATGGTAGGGGTGCCACATAAATCTGCACCCTTGAATGAGTTTTGAGAGGGAATGGCTGCCCCCTGGTGGTGGGCAAAGTGTATAAGCGCTGTAAGAAAATATGGTTGACGATGCCGAGGTTGGTGTCTGATCAGAGCTTCCTGTTTGCAGCCTGTTGTGTTGTGTAATACTACTCCACGCCATTAGGTGGTTCCGCTGACAAGAATGAGTGAGAAACGGTAGGAAGAGTAAGAAAGGATGATATTAAAGTATAACGGCCTGGTGCTCGTCCGGATAGTTGTACTTGATGTACAACTTATTTATTTGTACATTATTTATTTACGTTAAATAAATGCGCCGAGTTATTCGAGAACGTGTCTTGTTTCCATTACACAGCGAAAAACATTAAGAAAACATTTCCTAAGGTGGAGTAGACTGAGTGTTCAGTACACAACACCTTCGATGTTTTTCATTCTTGTCCATTTAAAAATGGAGGTTTTTAAGAAACTGTGCTTGTATTTGTCCTTTCTAGAAGGTTTATTGTAAATATTTTCAGTAAGGTTTTGGTTTAAAACAACAACTATTAGAATTAATGGCTATAAAAAAAAACATGAAAAAGCAAATTGTCATTACAGCTATACCAGGCCTCTATGTGACCATGTTACAGAGTCAGTAAAATATGGCAGAAATAATAAAGGGCATGTAGATTATCTACTCAAATATAGTGTTTTTTGGTAGAGGGCCAAAGTAGTGTCTCCCCCGAGGCACGATTCACTGTCTGAAACCTTTCTGCTTGTATTACGGCTCAGTTTGCATGTATTTAAATGGCCTGAAGCTCTTTCAGTTTTGAGAAACCTTCTATATTTTCCTCAAAAAGAAAGAAAGACGACAGTCACGGCTGTCCAACATAGCTCCACATCTAAAACAAAAAATAAATAAATCTCCTTTTTACATCTGCAGACAAACTGAAAATGGAGAGAAACGGGTCTATTGTTGTTGCAGGAAGCATAAAAAAATACATATTTTCACACGTATAAACCTTATTTTAAAGTCAATACAATGATAAGCGAGTGAGAGCAGTGAGGCGTGACTGCGTCTAAAATCTAAATGTATTTTATGAATTGAATCTCCACAGACCGTTCAAACTAAATCAAAAAATAGCCCTGAGTCTTAAAATTACCAAGCTAAAAAGTCTGAACAGGGAACAGGGAGTTCGCTGCTTCACTGCACAGATGCACACAGATCAAAACTTTTTGCAGCTTTTGGACATTGTGCCGAACAATTTCTTCTCTGGACACACACACAAACACACACACACGCGCACACACCAGAAGAGGGCCTAACGTTTCAGCTGATAATCTGTTGATCCTGTAAAACACTCATCACCAAATAGCCATGTATCCACAGCATTCCAGTATGAGCGCCCTGATTAAAACCCTTTCACTGACAGAAACCGTGGGACCGCTTTGTGGGTGTCTATTTAATCGCGCTCTTGATCTGTTGAATGGCATTGTGTTTGATGTTGGTTAATGCGCCTCTTTCATGCTGCGGTGGAACTGTCTCTTCTGAGGCAAATTATGTGCATATTTTATTTTTTATTTTTTTTGCCAAAGGTGACATTTCTTTGCGCTCTCTGTGAAGTAAATCAGAGAAGCCTGCACTGCATCTGCAGTGAAGAGGGACCCGCTCGCTCTGTGCCAATGTTATCCACTAATGGAGTCTGGCTGCGCTGCCACAGATGCATTTTAAAGCGTACCATTAATTCATTAGGGAACTGCAGTCCTCTCGTTTCAAATAAAACAAGAGGAGAGGAGGCGAAATGCGGCGAGACGGCTCGAGTCGGGGAGGAGCGCCATCAATCTCGGCGGCTCCATGTCAAGGACAAACGGTGAACGAGTGGAAGTACAGTATGTGTGTCACCTGCGAGGACGCACCTGTGCGTGTGTGTGTGTGTGTGTAGCTATGGCTGCTGACGGAGGAGAAGAGAGGCGGCTAATTTTAGCTCAGGTGAGAGAGGAGGGTAGGAGAGGGGGGGAATGGCTTTGATGAGCTGAAGTTGAAGTCTGTGGCTCAAAATAAAACGGAGGGGCAGGATGACGGACCGCCGGGGCCTGGAGAAGCACGCTTTCATCGATTAAAACCCCGAGTTAATTTATTCAACGGGAGGGCGGCCGGGGGGGGGGAGAGCAAAGGAAGGGAAAAGCAAGAGGATGCTCAGGTGGCAGGAGAAAGACGAGGATGCAAAGGAACATGTGAACATTTTTGAGATCCACAGCTGGGCGAAGCGAGGCGTTCAAGTGTAAAATAATTCAATCGGCTTCATCAGAAAGCAAAGACACTATAATAAAAACAAGAATTGCATTTAAAAGTAATAGAATTTAAGCATTAAGTGAAAATACTGGGCCAGATTTCTTACATTTTTGTTCATTACATTGTGTTTTTTGTAAGTATGAAAACAAGAATGCCATCAGCTCTATTGCTATCAATAGAGCTCTATTGTGCTCTACTGAGTAGAACTACATAACTACTCAGTTGTGTAGTTCCTAAAGCCTGTGTCTAGTTTTATAGTAAAAAAAATCTCGATTATAGCAGAATTTATACTTTCATATTCACCGTTTTACCGCCACTGTTAAAGCATGAGCAAGTCGAGTTGACTTGTTTTTTTGCCTCTGCTGAGCGTAAGGGATGTGACTTTAACCACAGATGAATTCGCTGTAGCTCTTATCACCTAAAGCTAATGGTAGGTAATTTTATTTATGTAGCACATTTTCAGCAACAGCAAGGCAACTCAAAGTGTTTTACATGAGTTAGGAGGAAATACAACAAACCAAAGGATCTCTCCTTGAACTGGTTTACCTGTCCATGACAAGAGACAACACACACTTAGACACACTCACAAGGGTAATTTACTGGAACCCAGTTAAGCCAACATGCAGGTTTTAGGATGGTGATGAAAAGCCAAGACAGATTTATCAACAAAAGCTGATTTGACTTTAGTCGTGTCCTGGTTGACTGAGAGTCTACATCAATATTTCTTAATTAATACTCTAAGCCTTAAGTTTTTCCCTTTCAGGAAGTTGTTTGAGTTTGTTAGTGCCATTTCATTTTTACCAAATGAAATATCTCTATACACCTGAAAATACAACCTTAGAAAATCTAGCAAAATTATAACAATGCACACTTTCTTAAGAGTGTGGCAAAGACGAAGATGGTCCTAATTTATTACACTCTTTTGAATTTCCTGTCTCTTCATTTTATGAAAAATGTGAATCAGTTTGTCCCAGAACTGGTGTACAGGATGCCAAATACGACTGCTGCGTCACACACTTCCTCAAAAGTCATTTATCTTAATTCAACCGTAAATAATAAATCTGTTTTTTTTTTAATGTAGGCAGATTTGAATCTGTTTTGAGACAGATTACTGTCATTATTTTATATTATATTTCAGGGGTGGCCAAGTCCAGTCCTCGAGAGCTACCATCCTGCAAGTTTTAGAAGTATCCTTACTCCAACAGACCGGGATCAGCTCTACAGAGGCCTGATAACGAGCCAGTCATTTGATTCAGGTGTGTTGAAGCAGGGATGCATCTGAAACTTGCAGGATGGTGGCTCTCGAGGACTGGACTTGGCCACCCCTGTTATATTTAAGTTCA